TATTGTGTTATCAACGCGATGTGAAACAAACCAATCAAAGTAATAATTCGTGGGCTACTCACAACCGCTAATAAAAATAAGATCACAGCTTCGCTTAATTAGCGGATTTCCATCCAAAATTAGCTCAGTTAACAAGGAGAAAACTAAAGCGCCAAGGCCGCTGTTTCTTGTTTGCGTTCTACAACATAATATAGCTAAAAAAATTATGATCTTAAAAAGCTCATGCTTTTTTCAGTTTTGGAGAAGAAATTTATGTCGGAAAACCAGGTTCCGCAGCATCACAGCTGTCAAAACTAACACCTCTCCTCCAAAAACTTTTTTTCTGCACTCAACCTGACTGTAGTTGAGAGTTTCCGGTAAATAGCACGAGCCCAGTTAAAATACTATGAAAACGAAAATAATATGACGAATCATATTTGGAATTGGGTTTTATGTTTTTGGTAATTATGATTGAATAGAAGACATTATGCTTAATTTGTAAAGAAGTTTCGGTTCATCTCAAAACAAAACATACTGCGCAGTGCAAGAAACCCAAAGAATACTTTGAACGACTTTTAAATCATCAAGTTATAAAAATTTGTCTTTGGGAACTTTGTTACTGTGAATAAAAAGTATTTACTTGCGTCGTATGAAGCATCCTATTTAATTGCAGAAAATAAAATGGTCTTTTCAATTGGAGAAAATCTAATATTGCCGGCTACTACTAAGATGTCCGAAATATTTAATGGCAAAAAGTACACGGATTAAATCTGTAAAATTCCATTATCCAACGATACTGTTTCAAAAAGAATTTCAGAAATTAATAAAGATCAAGATTAGCAGGTTAATAACTAGCTTCAAAATGAGCCCTAACTTTGCAATCTAGTTGGATGAATTAACTGATATTACCAGCTTCGATCAATTATTGGTGTATGTTAGATGTGTTTTTTATGAAGAATTTTTGTTTTGTCTCTCTTTGGATGGACATGGAAGAGGCGAAGACAATTTTGTAAAAGTTAATGAATATTTCATTGAAGAAAGTTTGCAATGGAAAAATTGTGTTGGCATTTGCACAGACGGTGCTAAAGCAATGGTCGATCCACAAATTGGATTTCTAGCCAAAGTTAAGGAAAGTGTCAACGAACATATAATATTTACTAATTGCATGATACATCGAGAAGCCCTGGAGGTCAAAAAATATCAGCGGAGATAGATGTTGTGCTTCGAGATAGCATTATAGTGGTCAACTTCATTAAAAGCCGTGCTCGGAACAGCCGTTTGTTTCCAAATCTTTGTAAAGACATGGGTTCCGAATACAAAAGCTTATTATTGCATGCATAGTTAAGGTGGCTTTCTTGAAGCCACAGTTTAAAAAGGTTTTTAAAATTAAAAGATGAATTTCTCCTTCTAACCGAACAAAAATCTGATTTGGCGAATTTACTTCATAATAAGTTGTGGCTACAAAAACTATGTTATTTGAGTGAAATGTTTGAGAAACCAAATGACCTAAATTTATCGATTCAAGGAAAACGTTGCAACATATTCATGTTCAAATCAAAAACTGATGTTTTTATGAATAAAATTACCATATGGAGAATCATGGGGGAAAGGGTTCATCAGAAATGTTTGTGGTAAAAAGGTAATTTTAAGTGAAAATGATGAAACAGATCATCAAAAAGATGAGAATACGAAGTCTTAGAAGATTTTTGGCTAGGAGTCACAAAAGAATTTTCAACGATTTCTGAAACTGCCATAAACTTTCTTTTACATTTTATTTTATTTTTCGGACGTCCTTTGGCAGGATACACAAATGTTTTCACCTCCGTCGATTACTCTATTTTTAAATTTTTAATACGCTGTGTTGATGATGTGGCACGTTCACATGGTCACATCATCTTGACCGCACTCGATTCGCCGAATCTCAAATATCCATCTTCTGTTCATACAATTGTGTAAAACGAACATAACATTAACAACGTGTGATACAAATCAAGGAAAGTTAACTTATGGCGTCTGTGTGTCATATATTCATTTTGACGAGGATTGCAGCATTTGGTAATTTTATTTTTAAATTAACCATATAAGAAAACGTGTAAACCCAAGTATTTTTTTAAGTTATATAAAAAAAAAAGGATATAAGTGTGAAATGAGCAATATAAACTCTCCCTAAAAATTTTAAAAAATAATGTCCACAATCATATGTGATGACCAAACAAATTATTTGATTTAAAATTTTGGCGTTTGGAACATAAAATAAAGTAGCAAATACTTCAAGGTATCGAAAGACGTATACAAATTTTTAAAGTTTTGCTAAGGATTTTCATTCTTAAGCATAAAATTTTTGCTAAAATATATATTTGTAGTAAACTGCTTAGAATTTTATATAACAAATAATATCAAAATCGCTATTGTCGTATCAAATAACAGATATTTTTGAGTTAAATGTCAGAATATCGAATTGTATATCATCGACAATGATGTTTTTCTGCGGAATATCCGTTCTCGCGTAGGAACTGTCGGTGTCGAAATACTTCATTCTCTTATGCTATTAGTATGTAAAGGATGAGGTCTCTAATATTACCCCTAAGTAGTAGGTATTAGACCCACACACTAACTAGAAAATAACAACTTATGGATCATTTCTCGAGTCGTGACCGAATTGTGATCTAAAGACACAAGTACTGCCAATGGGCGCCATCAACGGTACCTACATTTCAGCTAAATTGCTCAAGTAAAGGGATTGAATAATGATAACTGGCGATAACATAGTTGTGCAGGTGCATATTCAAGAGGTTATCTTTTGTATGGGTACAGGCAACATGTTTCGGCCATATATTGCATTAGAAACAGTGTGATGTCCAGGTACAAATCTGGGTAAATGATTGTTACTATCAAATTAAAAAACTTGCAAACTATAAATTGTTTACGAAGCTTACATTTAGGTACTGTTGTAAAGTTGTGCTGAAACTTTAACAGCTCAATTTTGACGATTCGTTATATGGTGTAACGTATGTTTTTGTGTTAATTGATTTTCAGAAATTACAGAAATTATTCAGTTCATTCATTTTCAACACGCTATATATTCAAAAATATTACACATAAAAATATGAGTGATGTAGGAAAATAACCGCATACTCATTACTACAGGCTCTACAAATGTTCTATACACGCCCTCTGGGTCACACGACATACGCCCAGGAGGTAGCTGAATTCGCTCCCCACGTTTTGTAGTGTCATGCTGTCAATAGTCATCACTGAACTCTCGTAATGTTTTTGGAAGTAGGGGTACATAACCAAGACCCTTAATGTGCTCTCGAAAGAAGATATCACGAGACGTTAAATCAGGTTACTGGGACCCAAGAGTACAAAGGGAAGTTATCCTTACTAACACGACCAGTCCAGCGACGAAATAGCAAGTTCCAATGACGAATTGCATGTTCCAATGACGGGATGTCCCTTCGAGATGGAAGACAAAATCTTTGGAATCAGCAGCATGTATTGAAATAACCACAACTGGAACATATTCAGGTAACGTGCACGACTCACAGTGTTCTCGCAGAAGAAATATGGTGAGTTTGTGGTTATTTTCAGATATCACTAATATTTGTATGCATAATAGTTTTAACTACATAGCTTATAGAAAGCGGATGAATATTTTACTTAGTAGCCCTGTAAAATAATTGGTGTCTTCCTATCTATAACGGTGTAAAAGGGTGCGTTTCTGAAAAAGTATGAAAACTAGGTATAGTGCTTAAAAGCAATTTAATGAATTTCAGCATCCAAAGAGAACTTTCGAAGAGAATTAATGTTTAAACCAGATTAGACTAGCTTTGTTACGATATAAAAATGCTTTTGGAAGATTTTTCAAGTATAAGGTGCCTGTGGAAGGTTTGATGCAAGAGAGTTAATTGAGGAAATCACCATTTTCAGAGAGATAAAAGCACTCACACGGTGCTTTTTGTGACATTAGTGCATTCAGTTCAGATGTATTTAATTCTTGAACGTAGGAATTTAATATTATTTATTTTCAACCATCTTTATTTATCGTATAGCAACTTCACTAAAATTCACTGATCCTTAGGGAATTTTCCTGACAGTTTCACTTTGTTTTATGGCCCGACAATATAAAAACCAAAATATTTTAGCGCTTACAGGTTATAGGGTTAATCTTAATTCTCTGAAATATTTAAAAAATTCATAACAAGTATAACCGTGCAACCAATATTAAATTTTATTACGCTGCAGCAATGGTAAATTCATTAAAACTTTTATTTTGCATATTTCACGAGCTGGAAATGAGTCCACGTTACTGATTCGGGGTCAAATTTATTTAATTTTCTTGGGCATACCGGAAATCTATCTGATGCTACAGTTAAATGAAAATAGTTACGATTAGGTCTATTTAACAAGGTAGCTAAGTTATGATTACGCCTATTAACAAGATAGTTATTCGGTTTACTTCTACACAGATTACATCATATTATTTGTCAATAGTAGCTTAATCTAAATTTGCCACTAAAATAGAAACAATCTTAATCATAATTCTTTCCAAAAGTGGATACAATGCATAAAATGAGGAGATGACATTTTGTTGTATTAGCTGCTCCGACCCTCGGGTTTAACACCAAGTGACATTTTGTGTGTATATGTGTATATTTATGTGTATATGGGGGGCGAAGATGTTTTCAATAATATTACCTTTATGCCATAATACCCAGGATTTAATGCCATACCACAGATGCAATGTTCTTATCGGCCATGAAATATTGACACGCCTTGGGACGAAATGGATCAGTACATATATATGTGTTGTTTAAGTCAAAGTTAATAAACTGATGTCTTATGAAATATGTAAAAATCCTTAGGAAATTTTCCTCTAGTTAAGTATAATAAGATATGGCATCGGTAGTGTAGTTTATTTGTAATACATTTTTAAAACGTTTCGCGGAATTTTGAATGATTTTATGTACACTAGGTAACATTAATTAAGGAAAAATCAAATAATTTCCATACAATTTGAAATTCTTGTTAACTGAAGATTATTTAATACAGTAACGGCAATATACAGAAAATTGTATTCTACAAAATAAATATATTGTTTTATTTATGACCAAACAAGTTTCTATGAAACCAACTGCTTTTTGAAGAACCTTTTGGTTTGAGGTCTGGTGACGAAGGACAACTTTTGTGTGATGCTGGATGAGGCAGCTCTGAAATACCTTCATCTGTGAGCAATAAGCTCTGTCTGCACAGTTGACTGACCGTAGCCATGTCCTTTTTACGTTTACTTCGTCTTAATTTGAGGAAAGATGAAGGCATTTTGAAATCAGAACTAAGCACTGATTTAAAGAGTGAAGAGTTTGATAAGGATTTTGATGTTTTCAAGTTATTTCCTTCTATTGTTTGTGACCCGCTCTTTTGATAATCTGATGTTCTCTTGGACAATCGAGATTCTTGGCAGTTCTCACCTGTCCGAAAGACAACAAGACTCATGGAATCGATGGAACTATTAGACAAGGTATCTTCATCTCGTCTTGTTGTAGAGATTGTTTTAAATCTGGCATCATGTTGTGTGTGTTGTAACGATAGATCTGTTTCTGGTGAATGTGTGTCGCCATATTTTTGTGTTGAAGATAGACCGAAATTTGACTGATCAGTTCGGAAACTTACAGGTAAACTTGTTGACACAGGTGATGAAATGAAATGTTCTTTGGCTTTCCTGACAGCTTCACTTCTGGCACTGGAATTGGGACTAGATGGTGGTGTGGCAGGAAAGAAGTCCAAATTAGTTGGCTTGAAAATAACGGGATTATAATATGCTGATGCATATAAAATGCTTGGAGTATTTGGAGTGCTGCAAGAATGCGTAATAACTGGTGGAATACTTTTAGTGCTATGAAAATTAGTTGAAACTTTTCTTTCAGTTATTGGGGAACTTACATTACTAGACAAAGGACTTGTGGGAGATTGGCTCTCAATTACCTTTTGATTATATCTTTCAATCAATGCTTTGACATTTGTAGCCCCTTCGCAGGATAGGTTTTTTGGACCAACCTTTCGCCAATCTAACTGTGGTGCTGATGGGGATTTAACATAAAGGTTATCAGATTTACCAATATCTTTTGATTCTGTAGCTGCCTGGACTTTGTTAAATTCGCAATTTAAAATTTTATTTGTGTCATTCACATCTGCAGCCTTAACAAAACGCTCCGGTTCCTCATTTAGACGGTCCTGAGGTAACAACTGTGTTTGAACTAGTTCATGCGTTATGGTTTTAACATTTGAATGCTTAGGAAAATTATCTTTATTAAATGACTGTGGATCATAAAATTTCAGGTCCTTTTGTGCTTCACGCATTTTTATACAGTTGTTTTTATTATTAGAGTTTGTTAATGAATGCTTATCTGTTGTTTTTTGGAGAAAAACTTCACACGAAACATCAGATTTACCTTCTGTAATTATTCTTGAAGATTCTTTTGATGAACTTTCCGAAACACTTGAATCTTGTTCTGAACTTAGGCTACGTTTCTTAGGCATAACTATAGTAACTATTTGCTCTTCGGTTTCCTTTGTATCTCTAAAACACTTCACTGCATTTCTCAGTTTTCGTTTTGGAAGTTGAATTGTTACTGTTGTAGCATCGTTATTTATGGACTGATTTGTGGAATGAGATTGATCTATGAGCTTATTTGGTTTAGTTGTAATATTTCTGTCCTCTTCATATACGGGAATTAATTCTTTTTGTTTGGTACTTTTTTTACCATTTACCAATGCTATTCCTTGTGAAGTATAATTTTCTGAAGCTATGGATTGCTGGAACATGTTATCCGAATGATCCGTAGAGGATAGTGATTCTGGTGGTTTAAGACGTTTTTTCGATCGCTTTTTTTGAAATTGCTCCCTTCTTTCTGTTACTGTTTCTTTTCTGTGCTTGTCACTCATTGATCTGTTTGGAAGTTTGGGTGATTCTTTATTCTGTGCAGCTCGTTCTGAAAGGCAACGTTGCACTTGAATAAGAAAAGGTATTTTTGAATCAGATGCTACTTCTCTCAACAATTTATTGTTGTCTTTTACTAATGATGCTACCTGTGCAATATCTGAACTTTCTCCGCGTATGCTTTGACATTTAGCCAGTTGATTTCTAATTCGTTCTTGATTTCTAATGTCTCGACACAAATTTTTGAAATTGAGATTAGAATCTGATAAATTGCTTCTCCCTTCTATTTCCTGAAGATAAGAAATCCGTGGCAATCTGAAAGATTGACATTTTTGAGGCCTTTTGTCTGAGGAACGTTCTAGATTTCTCTGTATATGGAAAGTGTTAGATCTTCTCCTTCCTGTACTTGAGCAGTTTATTGCAACTTTCTGGAGTTTCTTTCTCCTTTGCGTATACCCTCTAGGGGGATGCTCGCCATATGACATTAAGAGCCGTTCTGCATCCGCATTTGCAGGAGACATGGGTACAGGACGCCAGGCAACTCTAGTATAATCGTCATCAGATGAAACCTCAGATTCTGCAGATGATGAGCTATTCTCTTTCCACGAATCCTCATTCGCAGAAATGATGCTAATATTTTCGGCAGAATTCCTTCTTACGGTGATTTGTTTTCTTTGATCCATTGTTGCAGCTTGAGATTTACGTTTCATTCTTGAATTCTGTCCAAGAAAAAAACATTTTATATCAAGTAATAAAGAACAAAATTTAGAAGTAGCTTATTTTAAATGCAAAAAAATATTGTAAAAAGATGAAATCTCGCTTTAAAAACATATACTCTATTTTGATCAGTGTTTAAAACCATATCGCAATATTCTAAGAAATGTCATTAACGGATTCAAACTCGAGAGCAAAAATTTGTTTATTTAAAGAATTTTGAAGATTTTGCTATGTTTTATTTATAGACTTGCTAGATATAGCGTATAGTAGTACTTAATAGATAAAAGTATTTATTGATTACTTTAATTTTAATAGAGTAAAAGTAATATTAATATTATTTATTACGTTCGTTAGTAGCCATAGTACACTTAAGCACAGATTATATGTGATTTGATATATATTTCAGGGTTAACTATACGACAAACTAAACATTTTAGGATTTCTAATGTACATAATTATCCTAAATACATTAGAGGATGATGATTATATGCATCATCGTTTCCTGAAAAAGCACATACTAAAGCTTTGTAAAAAAGAGAAACATTTAACTTCAACACAGACATCTAAATTCTTTATAGCTACACCAAGCTAGACAGAAGTGATAACATTTGAAAGACAGAAAAAAAGTACAGCTACAGGTCATCATTTTAAATAATGTAATATTTAAGTAAGATAATATTTATATGACTTTTTTTCGGGGACTACCGTAAAATAAATGATAAACATTTACAGCAGCAAGATTTTGATATTAAACATTGTATTTAAAGGTAGTTTTATAAGGTATTTCTCCCGCCTTCCTAGCGTGCCTTTGTGATGTAGTGGTTCTGCACACTGGGCCGGTATTCCAGAGGTCCGTGGTTCGATTCCCGGCGAAGGCAGTTGCTAATTTTTCATCTCTCCGCCTTTTCCAACTAACCTAATGTCTCTACAGTGGCGCCCGAACTAAAAGGGTTTTGGATGAGGACTCTCAACACCCAGGATTTGGCGATTGGGTCCTCTATAAACCCCAGTCCCCTTTAAAAAGTGGAGTCCATAAGGTATTTCTCCCACTTTCTTAATGTGCCTTCTTGATGTAGTGGTTCTGCACTACATCACTACATCTGCTGTGCCGGTATTCCAGAGGTCCGTAGTTCGATTCTCGGCGAAGGCGTTTGCTAATTTTTCAATCTCTCTTTCTTCCAAATATCCTAATGTCTCTACAGTTTCTGTACTTGGTATGATTTTAAGAAGTTTAATTAGCATGATGTGAAGCTTAAGAATAAAGACTCCATATTACTCATTTGTGTGTGTATTCAGCATTATTAAAGCCATTAAAAATCTGTTATGTAATGCTCTTTATCTATATTACTTACTGCATTGAATAGATATAATGTTAAGTATGCATCCAGGGGCAATAAAATTTGGTAAAAGCATCATTTTATTTTAACTTATTTAGAATTTAAACAGATGTACGGTTTCTGTTGTACACGAAATTTGGAGTTAAAAGTTCTGCAGACTCTACTAGACACATAGCGAATTATCGCTACGTAATTACTTAAACAATTCACAAAATACAGAAGGAGGTTTAAAAAATGATCTTTTTATTTCATCTTAAATTGAACAGACCAGGCACAGCTTGTGCTACAGACGAAACTTCTACTACCTGTGGATATTTAAATTGACATAACAAAAGTTAAATTTCATTGTAAAGAGCGTAATTCTAAGACTATAGACAATATGAACTGGTTCAGTTATTCTACCGGCTTGTATTTTGAAACATCGTTAGCGAGATGCTAAAACCGAAATATAAAAAGGAGAAATTTTAAGCAGGGCTGGCGTTAAACTTTTAAGCAGCGAAGGAACCATACTAACATCAAGACGCGATTGGTAGAAGTTCTAATCTTAAGATTCAAAACTTTCAGCTTATATCCACAAAAACCAAATTTGCATTCTAATGAGGAATATGAAAAGGAGAAGTTATAGTAAAATCTTAAATCATAATCACTGGTTAATTAACATAAGATACGTTAACAGTGTCAGCTTCACTTTAACTACTCACTTACATTTTTAACTTTAACGCTGAAAAGTGATACATTTACGCAATGTTAGCTTAAAGAATGGTATGTAAGCCATTTATTATCCTTGTAAAACTCCGCCAACGTATCAAGCTCCTAAATATAAAGCCATTTAATGTTTATGGATAAAAATCTCAAAAAACATTAACTGAAAACTTTTTTAAAAAGTCGTTTCAAACTGCTTTCAGAAGTACAAGAGAGTCTTCTACGTTAGGCCATCTTATATTAAGCCATTACGAAATATATATATCATTTAGTTATACAGAAACTGCAATGACTTTAATTAATTAATTTTGTGCTATACAGTTATAATAATTAGCACTGGAAAATGTTCTATAGAAAACTCCTTTCATGACATTGTTGACTTAATTAAAGTACTATACATCTCTGCTTTTGTAGCACAAGATCAAAATATTTAAACATTTTAAAAAAATTAAATGTATTGTGCCAATAGATTTTATATAATTACAAAAATTGTTCTTATATCAGTAGTTACCGAATGTTTCTGTGTAATCTGTTTTCTATTGAGGAGGTAAAATATTATGCGCGCCCTCTTGGCATGGTGATAGGATGATAGGTCTGGGTTCGAATTTCGGAGAAGAAAAGGATGTTTGTAAGTGTACCGTGCTTTTATGGTATGGAGACACAAATATACTGCCAAGACGAAAGTTTTATCGATAGGTTAGCGGAAGGGGAAGGAGATTGTAAGGCTATGAGGTCCGTTTCCCGGGAGATTCCCCTTCAAAATTGGGAAGGAGATGGAAAAACTCGCCCAGTCACCTGTAAGAAACTCAAGACGATGACAGGCACAACAACCCTTGTCTTTTGCCACGATAAAATCTATAAATTTGATCTGATGTTACTGTGAAGCAAATAAATAAGAGAGTCAAAATTAAATAAGTCATAACAATTTATATTAATACAAACCTCGGCATTTGTTGATGCTATCGCCATCTGTGAATCCTTACAGCTTCCTTTAGAATAGTCTAGAAAAATAAAAAACAATAAAAACGTTAATACCGCTTAAAATATCAGTGAAAATTTATTTTGGTCAATTCATTATTTTGCTTTATGTCTTATATGGGCTTGGATTGGATTGGATTATTTAATTATGGCAAAGCACACTAGGGCTATCTGCCTAAGGGGAGGGATGGGTGAAGGACTTTCTAATATATGTGCTTGAAACAACGATGTAGACATATATGTGTTAAAAAGCTGAACTTTTGAATAATAACTATTATTTCCACAGTTCCCTTTTCTTTCAAAATTTATATTGAAAATTTAAAAAAAATTGGTCATATGATTAAAAATTTTGTATGATTTTACTCTCTGATCTTAGCTCTAGTGACTCAAAAATACTTGCAATAAGCTTGGTAATTCTATTTGAAGTAAAATATCTGGTGGCCGTTTATTACAATTTGTCGCCAAACCAACCAAACGTGCAAGAAAGCTGGGACTTTTATAGACTTACAATGCGTGTTAAGCACTTCTTCAGATTAATATATGTTAAAAATCAGTATTTAAATTGAAACTTTTAGAAAGGAAAAAATATTGGTCCTAATTATTTGGGCTGCACTGCTAAATTAGGTTACAATGTAGTATCCCCAGCAGGAGTAGCAAACCATGAATATTCTCCGTGAATTACTTTGCTAAATTCTTTGATTTTGGGCTTCTTCCTTTTTGAAGAGATACACAATGTATGATCATTTTGCTTATAAGTTATTTTAAGAGTGCTCTGTGTAGTATTCGGTCAGATTTCTATATGCCACCGTTAAGCTCATAACCAAGAATTAAATAATTCTTGTCAAGTTAGCAGATTGGAAGATTTATTCCATCTCTAAACAAATCAGTATTTTGAATGGAATCTTTTATTAGTAATTTCCCGCATCATTATAGAGAATTATACAGAAAACAGGCATCCAAAGTAGGCTCTATTGGGATAAGATCTGGCGAGTTAGGTGGCCAGGATATTAACTGGAATTGATCCTTACAATTCGAGCCTTGTGACATCGGCGTTGTCCTGCTGAATGACTCCATTTCCAGTTGGGGAGAAAGACGTCATGTAAGGGTGCAACTGATCCGCAGTTATGTTCAGATAGTCCGCAGCTTTCATGGTCTGTTCTATCTCAACTGAGGGACCCAGGGCAGCCCATGAGAATGTTCCCCAAAGCATAATACTTCCACCAGCAGCCTGTGTTTGACCTGCTGTAGGGAAGAGGTAACCCTGACACGACTATCAATGCGATGAATGAGAAATCGTAATTCATCCGACCAGGCTTCTATCTTTCACTTCAAAATACTGATTTGTTTAGTCCAGTCTCGATGTTACCGGTCCCATTGCAAGCGTAGTTGACAATGACGCTTGGTCAATAGAGGCACACGAGGTGGGATGTCTGTTGTGCTGTCCCATATCCAACAGTGTCCGGTGAACTGTGTGTTCCAAAATACTTGCAATTTGGATCTGCACTGTATTGGGCTGTCAGCTGATCCCTGTTTAGTGGCAGTTTTGCTGTACCAAGCGAGACACTCTCCGACATCCTTTTTCTTTGATGACGCGCGGATGTCCAACACCTGTGTCTACTGATGGTCATCGTCATTTATCCACTTTGCATAAATACTAACAATGGCAGATCGTGAACAACCTACCATTCATGCAGTTTCGGAGATATACGTTCCGAGATTTTATCTGCAATCTGCCCTCTATCAAATTCTCTTAGATCAGCAGCATTTCCCATCACTCTCAAAAGTAAGTGCAGGAATGATTCCTTACCTTCTGCAAGTAGCAGTACTACAATTTCACGTGCCCTCCACCTCATCCAGACAAGTTCATTGAAAACTGTGGGGAAGGTCATAATGTTTTGGCTGGTCAGTGTATATTCTATACGTCAATGAGCAAGCACATATCCGTTTCCACAGTTTACATTAGTGTAGACAATTATTTTCATAGAATTTTATTTGATAATTATCTGTGAAGTACTATTTCCTCAGTCATTCTTTAATTTTGTACGAAAAAAAGGCCAGCGCAAAAAATGCTTATAGGCATATATAAAACGGAAATTTCCAACATAAAAACATCTATTAAATATATAATCATTTGCTTTATAATAGTAAATCTATAAACTTCTTTCTTTTCTTTGCTAACATTTCATTAAAATAGGTCTCTTGAAAAAGGGATATCGCAAATAAAAATATAAAAGATATAAAGTATTTCAAATTTACGATGAATGAATATTTTTTAAACAATTTTGGAAAAGCTAATATTGTTTACAGCTTCTGAGCAAAATTTTCCAAACATATTTTTCTCATTATACGCATGCATAATGCAAAATTTATTCCATCTATTTGTGAAGCTGTAATAGTTTTAATGTTATAACGTGAAATGCAAATAATTATGTATCATTGCAAATTATACCTGCTGCTGATGTTAGTTTTAGCACTTCTCTGCTTAGCTGTTGAACTGTGTTTGAGAGTTGTGTGGCTTTAAATTCTGTGAGAGGCAAAGCTTCGTAGAATGCTTCTGTAGCTGTCATTCTATTGCTCAGATCTTCGCCCTGTATTAAAAATAATATGCCTAATTATTCATATCTACGTTAATAACATTTAGGTACTGATAAAAATTTTTAACCTATTCAATAGATTATTAAATACTGTTATTTTTTAAACAATTTTCTATATTCCTCTTCTACCAAATTTTCTTTCATTTTACGCTCACAATCTCTTGAAGTATATAAATAAACGACTTAAAAAAAAGAAAAACAAATACGATTTGATAGTTTGAATTCATTTAGATGAATACGAATTTTAATATGTGAGCTGTTTCTTGTCGTAGGTCTGATCGACATTATCATTTATGGAGTTTTAGTTCATAGTTTTGGGTTTTGCACTCAGTTGGTGCGAGAAATTAATTATAAGCTCCGCAGTGAATGATAGTCTAGGATGAATTATATTAATTTAAATTTCCAAAATTTAAAAATGAAATGAAGTGAAAAAAGGCTAGGCACTGAATTTTAAGATGTATTAATTAATCAAGAAAATTACTGTTGTTATCTCAAGTAGATTTGTTTGAAACTGCAGAATTGTTGCCTAAATGCGAATTGCAAAAATTTCTATTTTAATTTATAAATCTCTAGTTCTAAAATATACAAAAATGTCTAACCTAAAAGTTAACACAAAGATACAAAAGGTCACTATTTGCAAAAAAATATATTGTGTAACAATATTTTAAGAGAAAAGTTTAAGTTACTACTAACCCTTCAAATTTGTTCATTTGCTTGACTATGTCGAAGCATAACGAGGGCAGTTTGTTTAATGGGACGGACAGCTTCACAAAAGTCTTTCTAAGGAAAACTGGCTCGTATTAGAATTACACGCAGCAAAACCACGGAAATATTTAATCTTTTCCCAATCCGTTTGCTGGAATTCTTGGAATCATTTAAAGAACTGTTAATAGAGGAAAATAATGAATAAATTGATCAATTTCCTTTGCTTAATTTTATATAAAACCCTTAACTCATATTTGGATGTTTAATCAGAGTTCACCAATAAAATTAGTTTACTTTGTAGAGTCATTAGGTTAATATGAAGCAGGAAAGGTGAAAAATGTGCAATGCCCTCGCCGAGATTACAATCCTGGGCTTCTCAAAAACGCGTCGTGTATACTTTCAGCTACATGTGAAAAGAGTGACGAAAGCATGTGAAAAGAGTAAAAAAATACCTTGTAAAGTCTATGTGGCCTTTGGGAACATAAACTTTTAAAACGACTCTCGCACTTTATCTCAAAATCCGAACTGTCATCCAGCATAATATAATTTTAATAGGAACCTTGATGCTTTTACAGCATTTATCAGTTGTAGAGTATACGTACTTGTGTGGGCAAGTATGCAGAAGCTTCTTCTGACGAATGAGATCTGAAATGGGCGTATTTTGACCTTTTCCTGTGCGCAGTATGTGTGTGCAATTCTGTTTCTAACTTGACGGTGGATAAATCTCGATGCAAAAGTTCCCATCTCAACTGACAGATTTGGCGGGTCTTTTGAGACAACATTTCTTCTAGGTCTTGTGTCTAAGAAAACAAACAGAATTAAGAATGCTTTCATGATTTTGTTTCTTTGGCAAAATTATAAGACTTTGTAATTGACTAGACGATTATCTGGTCGTCTATTGAGGAATTCTTATTGAGATAATCATTTTAGAAAGAAACCAATGGATTTAGATAGATATATTCTTACCTGCTTAACGAGCAGAGCTGATAGATCTTGCAACCTTTCGATGGCCTCTGCGTGTGAAGAAACTGGAGCTTTTGTTTCATTGTCTGTAAAATAACGAATCATAAAATATTTAATGTTGTATTTAATGTAGCAAATGTTTAGCATTTCATAAAAACGGCTTAAGGTAATAATTGAATTAATAAAACTTGTAATTCAATAATAATAATAGATTGCCTGTCATATCAAACATTTTTCACTGAATCATATATTTTTAGTGACTGTAAAACTATTAGTACTTCTATGCACATTGACTGTGAATAACTGTTTCAAATCATGCAGTACTAAAATCCCTAAGCATCTGAGTGTGGCGTTAGAGATTATAGCTTCTAATTCATCTTTCATATTCTTTCTTTCGTTTTTTTTTTTTTTTTTTTTTTTTTTTTTTTTTTTTTTTTTTTGGGTGTGTGTGTGTGTGTGTGTAACTTTTTGCTTTAACTTATCACTACGTGAAAAAATGGCAAGCAGTCTGTCCTGGACTAACAGCGAACATTCGCGTGTAATGTCATCCGATCCATCGGCCTGGGACACATCGCGCAACATCGCAATGTCTCGGACATCATTTATAAAATGTGAAAATCCACACTCACAGTAATTTTTGCAAGTGGTGTTCATGATTAGGTGCATGGTCCAGATCAGTAGATTAGAAGCAGTCCGCTGAATGGATTTGATTCCCTGAGATATTTTCCGTAGGAAGTTGCCGAAGAGAAGGATAAAGAAGAAAGCCATGTAATTTGGATGAACTGCAAACAAGTTTTGTTACGCATAACATTGCTTTTTGGAGCCAGCAATAATAAATGCACTATTTCATTCAAAAAAATGTAGCAAAGCAAAGCTATAAGCAAAGCTATAAGATTCCTTAAACAAATCTATTCCTTAAAGCAAAGCTATAAGGAATAGATTTGTTTAAGGAAACCTGGTTAAAAATACATAAGTTACAGTAAATTTAAATCAAGAAATGATTTGTCAGACAGCTTATGCATTTATTTGATCCAGGAAAATAAACTTCTACGAATACCAATTTTTAATGTAGCAAAATAAAAATCCTCTACAGGGTAAGGGTAATGAAATGGTTCAATAAATATACTTCAAATGAATCGTGCATAAATTCTCGCAAGTTATAAACTAATAAAATTAATTTAAATTATTTGAATAGCTTAACATTCTTGGAAAATGTAATCGAAAGGTTTTAAAGAAAGCTAAATTTTTAAACTTATTACCTTGTTAATATTTTACGGGTGCGAAGAAAAGTTTATAAAACAATACATTATTTATTTCCCATAAAATTACTAAATGAACGTCACAATTTGTAGAAATCAGAGTGTATTTGCTAAATACCAAAATTTTACATAAAGCTAAATGTAAAATTTAAGATACAAAATCATAGCATCAGAGGAAAATGCTTAGGAAATAAGCATGAATTGACTGAATTGAATGACTGTTGTTCATATATAAATTTACCTTCTGTGTTTGAACCTGCCGCTTGAAGTTCTCGCATTTTTTCCAACAAATCTAAAGTCATATTTTCCTGCTGTTTTGAATGGTATCGGAAACTGTCCTGCAAAAGATGGTTTAGTCATGTAATTACAGAACAATAAAAATAAGCACAATTAAAACAATTAAAAATTTCTTTCTTCTTGTGACATGCACTTCTATTTTATTTAAAAAAAAAACTATCAGAGGTAATAAGTGGATGACTTCCATAGCTCGAAGGAGCGCAAAATAAAATATATACCTGATAATAAATAATAATAAATAATAATGGACCTTTTTCCATAATACAGTTGCATTGTTAATTGATTTAGGCAAAGTACACGAGGGGTATCTTCCAAAGGGATGATATTCCTTTGTGGGGGACTTTATAAAGGAAACTGGCTTGTATTTATATTACACACGGGGGATGACTTGTATGCAACCAGCTTATTCGCTCGTATTTGAGTTAGGGTCTAATTGGTGTGTAGCATAAAACACAATGACTGAGGCATAAGACCGATATGTAAAGGAGACTAAAACTGAATTGATATGGATGACAAACTTAAGACTGCCACATGCTTTAACTCCGAAACCCCAGCCATTAATTAAGTTATAACTCTCCTAAAACAACATAAATTGCTGTCATTTATTCAGGGAATAAATTTCAGTTTCTTTTGTTGAATTATGCTATTTCTCATTGAACATTAGTTAAATATTTTCGTGTTTTTATTTTGTGTAAGCTTAAGGGAAATATTTTTGCGTTCTACGGGTTCGTGGATTTGGTGTGATTGATGACAACACTTGATGAAGAATCGAGACAGAATTTATTCGTCAGAATTTCACAGGAGAGTTCGAAAGGCACGTTTAAAGCCGTCGATGAACTACGATAAACACGTTGAAACAATCAGCAACACAGCCTTCAGGCTATCAGGCTATAACGGTGAAGACAGCTTCACGGCAAAGCACTAAAGTACAGCTCCCGACTCGGTCGATCTCTCTCAAGCTAATCTCTGAACTCAAAGCACTACTACTGAGCTCAACCCTTTCAAGATACTCCTCGTGATAAAATATTACTCCAGGTAGAGGCTGGGTATATATAACTTTTGTGCTGCCTTCGAGAACATGCTCGGAAAAACCGATAAAAATTCGTTCTGGAAGATCTCGCTCCGTCTATGGCATATCGCCAATTTTGTCCTCAAATGGGCGATTTCGCGCCAAATCTGCTATCTTGCCTTTCCTTGCCACTTACTGGCAACCCTAACCCCGCTTTGCAGGAAAGCTATCTTACGGCAGCTAAGCATTTCGTAACAATATTAATTGTTTTACAAATAAAAGTAACACTGTTATCCTTTAACCACGAAGATAATAAGCGTTAACATCCCACGCAACTGCAAATCACCATATGATTTTTGCTTTTCCCAAAACATAATTATTCACAGCTTGCTATTGATCAAAAGCCTTATGAATAATAAAAATAGAGGACAGATTTGCGCACTTTGTATTCCATAGGAAATACTCTATAGTTTTGCAATAAAGCAAACTATAGAAAATAATTTTTTAAGGAAAATAAAGCATTGAATTTGTGAATAATTTAAGTTCATATCGTGGTAAAGTTGAATCTTCTACTCCTTACATCTCCCGTACCTACATGGATATTGTTTTACAGGATTCATATACGTGTATGTGTTATCAAAGTAAAATTTTAACATGAAAAGATAATGTCCAGAAAAAGGAAATTTTTATTTCCAAATACATAAACTGATGCTGTTATAACAGAGCATTTTAGTCGTACGATTAATCTAAAATAGCTTGGTGAATGCAGTTGATAAAGTTTCAGCCAGTTGCCGCATACGTAAATAAGTCATCTAAACAATAATAAATGACATACACTATTAATATTTATAATTTCAAGAAACGCTGTTGAATTAAAAACATGTACAGAAGTTTTCAAGATGTTCTGGCAAATTTGAAATTTTTATTATAGGTGAAGGGGACAATGACAGATTTGAGTCTATTTTCTGATAGTAAAAGTTAAAATAGATTAGTCATTACATATATTTATAAATTCACAGCATATCAAATTTTTTTAAAGTTTTTTCACATTTGTACTCTACATAGCTTATGTGCTATGTTACATATTTTTTGTTTTTTAATTGATGTAAAATTTCCAAAATATTTTCTAGCAAATTTATCAAAAACATACGCTGTATAAAAGTATCTGCCTACTTCAAGGATTAACTAATAAGTTCATGTGTCATATTAAGCAGAAATTTAAAACTAAGCAGTTAATGTAAATTTTCCTAATAATTTTAACAGCACATTTCTTTTATGTGCCGATTACTAAGCATTCTGTACTTCAAAAAGAACAGTTTAAATTTATATGAGGTTTTCCTTAAAATGTTCCTACTAGAGTAAGGCTTTCTTTTCTACTTACTAGTTAAAATAATCAACAATTCATCTATATTCATCTATATATTTTCAACTAAAAACAAATATGCATTAAGAAAGAATCACCCAAATTCGACGAAAGTTTGCTCGCGTAATTTACATAAATTAAAAGAGAAATCATCTTGATTTGCAGAAAATTATTTAGTCAAAATTCAGTGTACTATGCTGTTGCTATGTAATCAGATATACGTTGTTACTGGTAAAATGTAAACGTATGATTCATGGAGTAATGACCGGAGGCATAATATATCAAATATGGGGAAATGGCAACCAGTTCGTTTTACATTCTAAGGCGGGCTATAGAGAAAAACTCTAAACACAAATATGAGAAAAAAGGGCAGTTTGCCCTCAAATCAGCTGAAAAAGAGAAAACATATACTGAAAGAAAATTCTAGAATTTTTTAATGTTTTAAAATTTTATTTGTTTTGCAAATTTTTTTATTATGAAACAAAAATTTATTATAAAATTTCAGTAACTTTACAAATTGGTTTAATATAGTAACTTAAGTGTGACTGAGTAACACTCTGATAGCTTTTGTGTTATGAAAAAAAAAGACGTTTATATAAAAATGAAACTTATCTTGCTCATTTATTAAATAGCAAAATGTAGTAGCAGCTTACAATAATCTTATAAAAATTTGTAATCGTAAAATGAAAAATTAATATAACAGTTAAAATAAAAATATGATGTGCTGATATTATTAGGTATTTCCCCCTCCTTCTTAGCATGTCTTCGTGGTGTAGTGGCCAGCAAGCTCAGCGCGTATTTCGAGAGGTCCATGGTTCGAGTCCCAGGGATGGCATTGCTCATTTTTCATGTCTTCTGCTTCGAAATAACGTCTCTACAGTATTACCTATTTAATCATACTTTAAGGGGTGTCTGTTTCGGAAAGCAATTCGTTGTTCAACAACTGTAAAAACACGGCCACCTTAAAACCATTACACCACCATCGTATTTTAAGTACCTTATTATCAACATTATACCTTAGAAATATATTATGTGAAGGCTAGAATGTTCATTAATTCCACATTGAAACTGTTTCTCCTCTTTATGCATTTAACGTTTATCAGTGAAAAATAATTCCCTCAACATTTGCATTATGACCATAAATGCAAACATTTCCCGAGTATTTACATTTTGCTAGTCATTCTTGCATGCCGTTTGTATAAAGAACTGAAGATCAATGAAGAAGAACCTTATAAAAATAGATGGATGATTTTATACTTCAGCTGGGAAAAGGAACAATGTCATCTATTTGTTCACTAAATGGTAACCCAGACTCTTAAATATATTACTATCAAGTGCTAAAGGTATAATAAGTATCTAATAGCGATGGGGTCAATGAGCTAAGGCTGCTAGCTCATTGACCCCATTGCTAATGTGTGAGAGCACATATTCGTTTATTTTGAATTAAAAACTGTTTCAAATAATTTTTCTACCTACTTTACCACTGAAAGAAAGGCGCATGATTTTTTTCTTCTTTTCGCAAAAAAAATTGTAAGTTGTCGGTTTTCAGCAACTAATCAGCTGTCAGCAACAAACCTCCCGTCATCAACCATTATTTGTAATGGAGAACTAGTTTGCTGTTTACATGGTGCCCCAAAATGATTCGTGATGATTGGCTACTTTATATCATGTGGCAAAGGAGAAAAATTATGAAGTTATTATTCTGAATAAACAGTTGCTATTCTGAAGTAATATGAATGTGTGATACAGCCTTAAAATGTTGGCATTACAGAGGACACATTGAGATAGCCATCATGCTCTGTGCTTTGAGAGCAGTATATTATTGAAAATGATCTGAGAACACTGTGAGAAGCGCGCTTAAATTGGTTGCAGAATATTGTAGACATATTGTGTTACCATAAGATTACCATGGGTTACAGACAACTTTCAGTTATGTTATAGCTATTGTAGAACAGAGTTATCCTGTTCTACAAGAGCTATAACATAACTTAAAGTTGTGTGTGCCCTGTCTAGAGTCAAACACTCTAGACATGGCACACGTGAGATGTTTTACATTACATAGGCAAATTTCACTCAATTCCTAGCCATACTAAACATACACGCTGCCTTAGAGATTCAGGACGAACCAATAAAATTTATATGCGACGGCCATTCCGATGTTATCTCGTAACGGCTCAGATGTACATAATAATGGGCATTTATAGCACATAATAATGGGCTCTACATTTTTTCAAGGCGGTTTTCACCAAAACTTCATCATGACATTTATTATCGACCCCTTGATCCCCAATAAGACACTGCCTCTGTATCATGCTTTCTCCGAACCACTGCTATAAAAATCATTTGATTATCGCGTCTTCTCGAGTTATGAATTAACTATATGTTGAGTCGACAATTCAGCTTTTAAGTGAATGATACAGCCTCTCTCAACATCATTTATCTTTTCGTATGTATTCAGATCCGTTATCAAAGTCCTTAGGAGTACTCACAACTACAGTCAGCTGTTACAATTGCCTCTTGTTTTACAAAGCTTTCTTTATTATAGTTTCATCCATGCGCGCTTCCTATATACTGTATCTGGACATTATTCGGTTACTCATACCGGAAATTTTAGTCATGTGGCATGTTCGACAAGGATATAGTATTTGCGCTTGGAATTTTGTTCGGATAAAAAACGTTAGGGATTTTATTGTTAAAATATATGTTTTTGTTTTCATTTAAAGCTTAAATTTTCAATACAAATTCTTTTTAAATATGAAAAAGTGAAAATGCATGCTAGAAAAACTGAAGCATGATATATGAATAATTGTTTGTGTGATCTAGTACTTCAATAGGACCTTACTTCTACAGATTCTCTGTCGTTTCTCAGTTTCTCGGTATATCTTTCCAGAACGTCGATTCTCTTGCGAAGCTGGGCCATGGTGTGTAAGCAGCATTGAACGTCTCTCGGTGTTGCTCCTGGTTTGTGCATTTCCCACAACTTTTCTCGGTAACGCTCTAAAAATATGCCATTTTTAATTAAATACATTGTATAGTTATATTTAAAATACGGATGAGCAGTTTTAAAATGCTTTAAGCGTTATTTTGTTTAATATATACGCGTAATATTATATGAAATGGTGTGTCTTATGATAGTTATTTCTGTACGAGTGCTAGCTATGAAAGTTCTAGTTTTAGTTAAAATATTGATTTTAAAAAAAGAAGTTCTATTTATGAATATAAGTGAAACACTCTTGCGTTACATTTAATTTGACTACACGAAAAGAATGTGTCTGTTAATCGGATGATCGATTTTCATGAATACAAAATGATTATTTTAATTAGTCTTATTTGCAACATTACTATTTTAAATTAAATTCAAATTTCGTTTTATGCTATTAACTCTTTATTATAGCATGAAAACGTTTTCAATGAAGCAAAAGGGAAAGAGGAAGGCTTCCTGCTCTTTTACACGTATATAAAAATGACGAAGTGATTTATAGTATTGATATCAAATATGTAATCTCTCCCTAATTTTTGTCTCACTGAACAAGCGTTTTTCAAGTCCAGTTTTCAAGTTCACCGAACAAGCTTTTTCTCCGAAGCGTTAAGTTCTATTAGCGATATATTTTCGATCTTTTCTTGTATTTCAAAAAATATCATCGAAAGCAGTTAAAAAAAGGGGGAAACCCTGCATTGTAGGAATTTGAAAATTTTCCACATCACTATCTACCTTCCCGACTCCGATTCTTTTTTTTTTTTTTTTTTTTTTTTTTTTTTGGAAGGTTCCAAGTATCTATCTCAGCGTTCTCAGTCAACATTTGTTGCTTAAAATCTTAATCTCACTGATTAAGTCTGAGAAGTTACTTAACTAATTCTACATCATTAGAATCCAAGCCACGATTCACAGATAGTTATTCGAGAATGAAGTCACTTAGTTCTATGTGAATAGTGAATGAATGATTGCGAAGAGTTTCACTTATTGCACTTTTAACGAATTTCCAAGATACCCCGAAACTTCTCCAATATTTGTCTAAGTATGTTGCTACAAGTTCAAATGTTTCAGATAACTGATATCCAACATATGAGGATTAGATTTATCACTTCATACATGAAGCTGGGAGTCTTAAAGAGAGTACTAAAGCTTTCCGTTGTGAATATTGAAATCTACGGAAATTTGTGAAGTGATGAATTAGATTAAAAAAAAAACAAGCCATTTTAAGTATGGTCGAATATGATAATAATAAGCATATTTAAAACTGAAAGTCAAATTTGAATGAGCTAATTTTCAAGAGACAGTCTACAACTTCTCAGGTGGAAAATGTTCGGTATAACCAAACTACCATAAACAAAAGACTCACCTGGAATTTTAATTATCTTTAATTAAGAAAACACAAATAAAAAGAAAACTAAAACATTACACTTAAGGACGTTATAATTTCACATTTAAGTTACAAAAAAATAAATCTCGGAGGACACCATGCTTAGTTCTTGATTTCAGTACACTGAGTGAAGGCTTTGGCCTTTTTTGCCCGGTGTTTCCCCCTGCGGCCGCTAGGTGGCGCTCATTGAGCCGTTGGATTACAACGGTAATTAGATCGCAAATGGAAGCGTGAATGTAATATTTTAAAACAAATGTTTCTTTCCCTAGAGTGTTTGAGATGGGTTAATGTAGATCGAAAGGTGTAATAATGATGCATAATAGTTCAAGTAGAAAAGACAATATATTTCATGATAAAGGCCTTAAAAGTTTTCTCATTTAACAAGGATTGCTAGATTAAATTTATCTGTGACAATGCCAAAATTTTACTTCTGTGATAAATTGCGAATAAGAGCAGTTTTACTTAGTAAGAATAAGTAGGCAAATATGCATCACTGATAAAAGGCTAATAGTACTATACATCTTAACAAACGTGGTTATAGTTTTGATTAATTCTTACCGTAACTGCACGGGCAAAAACATCTGGGCTGCAAAGAAGACATTTCCAACAACAACTAAAGTGTGTAGGTTTTTGATAACTCAAGTATATCCAAAACATAGGATTTGTGAATTAAACATGTAAGCACGAAGCATGAAAAAGCAGATTGATGGTCCACAATAACTGCAAAAACTTACAGATATATAAGAAAAAGTTATTAACATTTTATTTATTGACCTGTTTCTTGCATATGATGTTGATTCATCACATCGACTTTTGCATCAAGCATTTCCAATTCCTTTTCTAGTCTCCTGCAGATTTCTTCTTTATCCTTAAGTTGTTCTAAAAGAATGACATTTTCTTCTAGAAGACCGTAATAGGTCTCCGAATCCTTCCTTCTTTTATCTAGATCGTCTTCTTCGCTCTCTTTATTTACTCCTGGTTCTGCAAGCTCATCCTCCAAGGAATCGCCTACATTCCTGCTCTACAAAGAACAATAAATGCAAATAAACTTGTGCAGACACGGAGTCAAATGGAAAAAAAGTAGAGATTAGAGTCAGTGAAGACGTTACATTTCTTATCGATTACGATTTACATTATTTTTCTTCAATTTTAAGTTATTGTAATTATCTTATTGTGTTTTTTATAACATTAGCGCAACATGCAAATTACAATGGCTAAGCAAAGATCAAGTTTTTCTATTGTATCCAACACCTTTTCTAAACAAACATGATTTTTACATTATTTTCAGAATAATTTGAAGCAAGCTAGTAATGTATTTATTTTTAAAAAATTCGAAATATATAAGATTAATTTTTTTTCAACGTTAAACGTATGCAAAAGCAAGTTAACTCTGGCAAAACTTTTCATTATTTATATTTAGTTTGCTAACTTAACAAACAGATATATGATATCATACTGCCTTTTAAACAAACTTTTTAGTTATTTTTGTTCCATATCTAGAAATTTTTTCTTGCGAATTATGTTATTCAGCAACATTGAAAATTAATCCTTTACCAAGATCAGATTTTAAAAAATCACTCTTTTAAGAAACTACTCTCTAACATTCGTTCCTTAGCTAAACTCCTCAATTTTTCATGTCCACTTTTCAAATGATATTTAATGAAATTAACACTGAAGGCACAGGAAGTCAAGTAAAATTAATTCCTAAAGCCGATTAGTAAAATGCATTCAAGTACATTTCCATCATTAAGGTGCCAGATTCAAGTCCATGTTTAAATTACAATTTTACAATGGTCGTAATAGAATTGAAATTCGGTAATGGACCATCAACTGTTAGCTGTGTACAGGATTCTATCCCACTGGTAAAAGGGCACGAGACTTTAGAAAGCTTGAGGCATGAGACTTTAATAATGAAGACGTCTTTCGTAACTCGGTTAAAAATGCCTATCTGTCATAAATTAGAAATCATTAACAACCTCGATATCAGTTTCAGCTTCCAAATTATGTCAACTTAATAATTATACACCGTGTCCATAAACATCCTTACGCGACCTTTTTTTCGCAGCCCTACATTTCCATACATACAACTATTTTAAATGAGGCAAATTAATGTGTTTTGTCACGTTTCAGTTTAAAGATTTTCAAAATCCGTAAAACTTTCAAAATACAACTTTTCATATCTATTTTTGTCACACTGAAGTAAAAAAAAAAAATTAATTATTTCCGACTTTTACTAGATATGACTATAGAGACCAAAGAACCTTGTAAACGTAATTTTTAAAAGAGTGAATTTTCAAATTTAAAAAATGCAAAATATGAATATTTGCTTCATTTAAAACCCTAGCAGCTTGCGCGGTCAGCCGCCTCAAACAGTTAATAAAAAGAAGAAAAGTATGTATAATGATTCTAATGAATCTAGCTAATATAATTTCATGGATCTAGTTAGTAATTAATAATAATTTAAATGAATTTGCATTTATTTCTTTTAAAGCGTCTACTTTTCTAATAATAGAATAAATGTGAAAGAAAAATTTAAAAATCATATGCTTGGTTGAACGACAACACACTGACGCATAGAAGATAAAAACATTTTAATTCGGGTAGTGACAACTTATTTAATTTAAATCTAGAGTTTATAAATTAAATTCAAAAGACATATATATTGTGTTCTGCTGAGTGGCAGTACCTTTCTTTATATCGCTAAGTTTTCTGATTAATTTTGACAAAAAAATAGCTTACACTTTGCAGATTGGCAACACAAACTGTTGCCGAACTGTTTATACTGCTGATTTTTTTATTGAAAGGTTATTAAATTCGCTCAATAAACAAATAAAATGAAATAAATTAAAAGGGAATTTGAAAATCGAAATTCGGGCTTCGAGGTGCACATGTTCGAGGGGAGGCTTACGTACGGTCAGAGGTTGGTGGTTCTAGGCGCCGCAGTTTTTCCACAGTGCAAGGAACATACACACATATATACCCACTTGCATACAGATTCTTCATTCTTTAAAAATAGAGATTTTCGAATTGTAAATGTATGCCGATAACCAAAGGTTGCGAAAATAGTCCCATAAAGTCCCATAAAGATTTTTTGTGGACGTAATGTATATTAATATATTCCTTGTCGAATTAAAGAGCTTTGGAATAGAGCCATTAAATAAATAAAAGAACAAAATTGTAAGGTATATTTTTTTTTTATAACAGTTGTTTCAATTTAGATAACCATTCCTATCAATTCTTGTTTCCACTTACAACTCCCTACCAGAATGAGGTTTTAGAATCGCGTTGAATGCAAATGAGTTAGAAGTATTACTTAAGGAAGGTTTAACTTACTTCGTGAGAGAGAGCTAGGAATCCTGAATAGCGCGTGTTTGCCTTCGGACTAAGTTTTTCTTGAAGCTGTTATTGCTCGACCGTATTATTACATGTCTTTTGATATTCGCCGACTAGTTTAAATTAAAAGCCGACTACGTTAGGGCCGGTTTACACTTCTCCGAGTTACTTTCGGCAAGCCCCTAAACCGAGCAGCGTCTCGAACTGAGTGAACGGACCTGTAATCTGATAGATTGTTTACACCAACCCGCGAGCTGGACTGACACCTCGTCTCCGTTTGTTTGCAAAATGATACCGACGTGTATGTATTGCTGTGCTTGAAGTTCGCGAAGCAGTTTCCAAAGAATTCATTTTTGTTCTAGGGGGGAAAAAAGAACAAAAGGAAATCAAAACGTGACTGGATAGCTCGCCGTGATGAATTGGGAGCATTTAATCAACTTCAGGGCGAGGATATCCAAAGTTACAAAAACTTCATCAGGATGGGTGAAGGATAATTTGAAACTTTATTGTAAATGGTCATTCCATTTATTCAGAAAAAAAAAAAAGTTCGTTCGTTCGAGCGCTATCTGCGTTTTAATATGCTCTGCCAGCAAAATTAAAAAGGCAGATAGCGCTTCGGTTTCTGGGGACGGGTGACTCCTGCAGTTCTCGGTATATTTATTTCGAGTGCCAAAATGCACAATCAACATGTTTATTTCAGAAGTGTTTGAGGCCATTTTCAATGTATCAGGTTGAGCGAAAATTAATAATCTCTTTCTTGAACTCTCCAACAGCCTCAAATTTTAACCTGTTAATAATAGCCTCATATGCCTTCTTTCGGCGATTTTTCTTTTAATACTTCCGACTGATCGTTTGTAAATAAAATCTAACTCGCTGTTCAAATAAAGAGGAAATTCTATAAACAAAACTTCAAAATTTTAGATTATATTATATTAGGTGTAATTGATCATGATTAAAAACTGATTGTTCTTAATTTATATCAACAAAATAAAATGTTTGCCCTTTCATTTATTTTTAAATTGAAAACTGTATTTTAGTGGGTACATATCATTTAATTGTTTTTTTATTAAATAAAATTCAGAAATAAATATATTTAAAATAAATATTTAGAATCCGATACCCTAATTTAATTTTCTTCTATGTTTTTTCTACAATATCAAAACCCTAAATTTATTCTGATCAGTAGTTATATCCACTTTATATTTAGGTATTAGTAAACAATAATCGTAATATTCAGGTAGTGAAGTATCCCATAATACTTCACAAGATGCATATGCACTAAAAAATGCCACAGTCAGATAGATTATCGCTCCATCTCGGCATTTTCGATATGACAAAAAAATTGGGCACGATGTCTCTGCAAACACCAGTCAGAGTTACTGCTCGGATACATTTTTCAGCTGGTTCAAAGTAGAAACGGAGCCGCTGACTCATCTCCCCTACGTTTCTATTCGAACCATGGAGGGTTATAACTTATTTTTTATTATTTTTTTATAGTTCAAGCTCGAGTGGAGGCTTTGTTGTAAACCCAAGAATGGGGCCAACTTTTATTCTTATTTGAGTGAAATAAAGGGTAGTTTCACCCTTCTTGAGTCTACATCTTTAGTTAGTTTAACTCAGCGATAATTCGTTAAACTAGGTTCCTCCACATCCATCGTAGATAAAAAGAGTGAGGAATCCAAGATTACTACCCAATATTACAGAAAGCGACAAGGCAACAATTTTATAGCTGCAGAAACATTTAGTCTGGTATAATTTATGAAATTTTATGCAAGCTTTGATTTTTGCTAGCTTGGATGCTTATATTAGAAAGGTAAATGTGATACAAAATAGTCTACAGCTTATATTAGAAAGGTAAATGTGATACAAAATAGTCTACAGCTTTCCTATTGAGCAATTACAGGTTTCTATCTTCTCATCAATATTACGGAGATAAATGTACGGATATCAAACAATTATATTTAAAAGTTGGATATAAATGCGAATATAATTTAAGATTTATAATCATTGGACTTTTGCAATATTTGCTGATCTTATTTTTGCCAGTGAGATGTTTTTTGCTTCATCTGCCAAAGCCCATATTGCCATTTTAATGTACGCAACTGGCATCCTAAATAAAACTTATGTTGTTTACGGGAACACCATTTGGTGTTTTATGTGAATGGAGGCATTTTAAAAAAATTGGAGAAAACGTTTTATTATTATTATATCTTTTAAATTAAATAAAATACTGATTTAAATTCACTATGCGCGTTTATACGGCAATCAAAACATTTTCCAATATTTTCACATCCCTATACCATCATTTCACATAAAACGTCATTTGGCATTCTCCATATATATTGTAAGTTTTATTTTATCGTGCCTTCTCATTAAAGTTTTAAATAAAGTATAAAAGAATTAGCTTACCAAGCTGGAAACTGAGATATTTGTACCATTTGTCAATGCAACCAATGTCGACAAGTCTGGCTCGGAGTTTGCTCGAGATGGATGATTCTGTCTTTCCGTATCTAACGTATCTGGTAATTTCAAGGACGGTAGTGAGTTCGAAGAATTGTGCGATGGCTGTCCAATGTCTGCGATACTAGACTCGGACCTAGATACTACTCTTTGCAAAGCACCAGCTTTGGGAATCAGGCTAGGCTGAACGCTTAAACGACTGGAGTCCAAAAGCGCAATAGTGGATAATTCAGGTCTAACCCCTCGTTTAGTCTCCCATTCGTATAGTTTCTTCGTGAAAGCGTCAGAGATGCCTTCAAACCGAAATTCACCAGCAGCCGTCTTGACTAAAACTTCTCGTTTATTCGAGCTGCTTGCACTAAGTACAGTTTCTTTCAATTTCTCCAGACGAAGAGCTCTTTCTTCATATTTTTGCCTTTCTTTAGACAATCTTTGCTTTTCCTTTTCAATTTTCTGCAATTCTTTTTCTAACCAACTTAAATCCTTGAGTTTAGGTTTCATGGTTTTTTCATAACGATCGGATTTTTTGCGAGCTCTAGCAGTTTCTGGGGCTTTTCTGTCCCAATGAGGTGAGCATGACGTATGGCCAGCGGATCGTATGCGATCCCATTCCTCTATTTTACGATGAAAGTCTTCACTTAAATTGCGTTGAAGCTGAAGCATGAGTTCAGAAGTAGGTGCGGTTAGCGCCATTTGATGCACATGGCTATCACTCCCCACTCGAGGGATTTCTCGAGAATCTTCATAGGATCCTTGAGACATTTCTAGAGGGAAAAAAGGTTATCATTTTAAAGTAATGAAACTTTCAAATTTGGAATTAACATTAAAATTTACTTGAACAAAAACAAATAAAATTAGAGTTTAAAAAATTTGAAACTGTAAGGTATTATCATCTTAAACATAATGTGCAGGAAGCTTACTGAAATTTGTTGCATTAAGTTCTTATATCGAATAATATATTTCACATGCAAAGATAATCAGCCAACGGACACTAACGCGCAAGAGTGGTTCAGAGAATTATTAATTTTCATCTAATTCTTAATTTTAATCTAAAAATTTAATGTGTTTTTAAATTTTCGATTAAATTGCTAATTTTCATTTAAGGCTCAGGGTTCTGTTTAAAAATAATTTTACAGAATTAAGAGCTATTCAATGAAATCATGAATTATGTAGCAGCTATAATATAGCTAAATGTCATAGTTATATGTTAATTGAAATAATATAAAAGGTTTTACATCTTCAACATAATTTACCCTAGTTTAATTTTCAAACATAGCGGCCTTTTGAACTAGTACAGTAATGTGCATGAAAGATTCGTGGCTATTTTGCTGGCTATATTTGAAAAAGTTTTATACTCGTTATGAAAAAATAAAATATAAGAAATTTGATTGAGACAAAAATTGACCGGAATATTTAATTTAAATTTCCCATTTTTTATGTGATTTTCAATTTCCTTTGAGGAATCTTTTAATTAAGTTAGAATAATTCAAGGAATGAGTTTAAATGAAGTGCTTAAAAAATGCATATACTTTAATTGACCGTACAAGGAAGTCATGAGATGTCTAGATCAAATTTTTATACGGTAGAATTTCAGGTGCTTTAAGTGACATCAAAAATATCTAATTTCATTACCAGAGTAAAAACCAGCAGTTTTTAGAATTTTTGCGTTTGTTTAGAAATCCATAAGATCTTTTCTACTGGGTGGTCTTTGAATTTCCATGTCGAGACAGAAACGTTAAAAGTTTTTCAAATACTTAATTATAAATGATACTAAGCAATTCAAGCATGCACTACATCAGAGGTTCAAGATTACCTTCAATGACGTCAAATGGGAAATTTCCATCCTGGGTACAATTAGGACTAGTCGGAGTGGATACAGATGTAGGATCCTTTTCTTCCTCTTTCTTACCTTTTAATACTTTCTTAACTTTTGTCCATCGTGATTTCCTATGAAAGGTGGGTGAAGAACTGGGTGTGCGTGGTCCACCACTATCTCCCTCCTGGTCTATACTTATGGGTGCAGGTTTACTACTCTTCCTTTTCTGGTGTTCCACTTGTTGTCTAGATGCACATTCCGAGCATTCTTCGCACGGTTTCAAGTCCAGTGGATCGACGGTGCCTTTGGCCAAGGAATCACAGTCCGTGCACAAATGATCTCTACGAAGCGATCGCCTTTTTAGACTGTCTCTACGTCTTTCAATAATGGTCTTGACTCTTCCCCAAGGACTCTTTCCACGTTTGCTGTCATCCTTGTCAAATTTTGCATAGTCTTGGTTCGTATAAGAATCACGTTCAATTGTGGATGACTTGGGTTTTAATTCTAGAAATAAGTTTGAAATGTATTTATTATTAAAATGCTGTACTGTGTGAGTTAAAATATACCTATCTTCATAAAAATGCGGATTTTTTTCAATATTTAATAGCAAGTTTTTTTTCAAACTCTTCAAAACGTTAGTCTGTGTCCTTCACACGTTGTACATTATTCAGATTTTCTTCTAATTCGAACATCATGGCACCATACTATAATGTGAAATTTATGGACATCAGGGTATTTAATGGGTATGAAAAAAGCACTTATGATAGCCAAAATGAAAAATAATTGATTTATTCTACAAGGTTTTGACGTGCTGTGCTACTTCTTTTATAAGGTGCTCGAGGGCGGCCTACGACAGACGCTCATTACATTTTACCAGTGATGAATTTCATGGACCTGATCGAAGCACTTTCAGATCAGAGAAATTAAAAACAACAAAAAAATGTGATATTGTGCGGTAAACGCCTGCTAAAAAGAAAAAAATACTCTCTAAATATTCTGAAATTAAATGCATTTTATTGCTAAATTAATATGACAAGGTTATGCCAAGCCTATTTTGCTTGGCCTGTCTGACGCCGGTCCCTACGGGCGGGCGCGACATTTAACATTTTAAAGCACTTAATACGAAATAATTAAAATCGTGTACTAAATATATTACATTCTCCCTCTCATTAGTGGAAAACTCTTCTTAACTCCTGACAATTCAGTTATTTCCCTTCTCATAAATATCGTACAAACTATTTTTAACCCTACGTACCATTTTGAATAGAATAATACCTTCATTTCATTTTAGTTTTCGTTAGTTCATTCAGTTTAGTTGTAGTTGTAGTTGCAGTTTTGGTCTTCGACATTTTCAAAAAATCGCATAAAATCAGGTAAGCTGCGGATTATAGTACGGTTTGTACCTAAAGATTGTTACAGAGGGGACTTTTCCCATAAGAATAAATTTTAATTCAAATTTTCACTTTTAGATAGCGTTGTTGACATCTTATATAAACTGAATAGTACAAAATATATATTCGCTTGCATTTGGAAGCTTCTTTTGTGAAGACCAACTTTTGTACTAATCAATTATTTTTATGTTAAGAAACTTTCCTTTTCCTTCTGATTTCAATGTCTTGCCAGAATGAAAATTTAAATGACATATGTGCAAAACCTCAATGAATTCGGACATAGTATTTAAGTAGCAGAACTGAAGAGTTCGGCGATAGTTAAGTATAGCGGGAGGGGGAGGTTACGCCGAGTATAGCGGGGGGGGGAGTTACGAGTTTATGCCGCGAGCGAGACTTGTGCCGCGTGTTTCCAAGTAGTTTTGTAGCTGAATATTTGTGCTAGCCACATACTTTAGATTATATTTTACAGTCGGCTTTGCTGTGTGCAGCCGATAAATCTGATATAAAATAAAGTAGGAACCAGTCGTGTAGCTGAAATTTGCTTCATTCTCGTAGTACATACTATGTTGTGTTTAAGTTACTTAGCCACAAGTGGCGGTTTGTTTGTGAGCACCGAGTGTATGCATATTCTGTTCAGTTTAGTTAAAAAAAAAAAAAAAAAAAAAAAAAAAAAAAAAAAAAAAAAACAAAAAAAAAAAAAAAAAAAAAAAAAAAAAAAAAAAAAAAAAAAAAAAAAAAAAAAAAAAAACAAAAAAAAAAAAAAAAAAAAAAAAAAAAAAAAATAAAAAAAAAAAAAAAAAAAAAAAAAAAAAAAAAAAAAAAATAAAAAAAAAAAAAAAACAAAAAAAAAAAAAAAAAAAAAAAAAAAAAAAAAAAAAAAAAAAAAAAAAAAAAAAAAAAAAAAAAAAAAAAAAAAAAAAAAAAAAAAAAAAAAAAAAAAAAAAAAAAAAAAAAAAAAAAAAAAAAAAAAAAAAAAAAAAAAAAAAAAAAAAAAAAAAAAAAAAAAAAAAAAAAAAAAAAAAAAAAAAAAAAAAAAAAAAAAAAAAAAAAAAAAAAAAAAAAAAAAAAAAAAAACAAAAAAAAAAAAAAAAAAAAAAAAAAAAAAAAAAAAAAAAAAAAAAGGTTGTTATAACTTTTATCGGCGGTCCTCTGTTTCCAAGACAGCAAGAATTCGCTATTTCGCCTACCAGTAGGGTCTACATTTTATGCTCCCAAAATGAGAGACTCTACACTTTCAGTTTATTAATAATGTAATTGTCAATTTTGAAATTTCAGTGCGGCATCCTCTTTCAAAGGATTTAAATTTGCCTTATTTTCCCTACATTAAAGATACATTACAATATGTCGGTGAAAACTTGTACTAAAATGTACCTCATATCAAAAACCCTCTCTTTTGTAAGAAGTCATTTTGAGCATTTAATATTCTGATGCAACAATATGCTGATTTTATATAATTTTTTAAAATATGTCCAAATTTAGAGGACAGCTTGTATAAATTCTTAATTAATTCTAGATAACTAAAATTTCGTAAATTTTCGGTTTGCTTAGCACTTTTAAAGAATTTTCGCTGTTCTAGCATTTCAAGAAATGTACTTCCATTAGTAAGTCCAGTCAGAAGAAAGCTCTTTAGCAAATTATTTGCCACATTTGAGAAACTGATTACTTTTTACAAATTTATCAACTTGCATCGTTCATACTACAAAATTTTCTAAGAAAGCCAGTATTATATTTTTCTGAGCAATCTTTCTAGCGTATTTTCTTATGACATTTAGCTTTCAAATTTTGTGACAAGTACATTAGTTTGACCGAAGTATCGATTTTTAAAAGCTAGGTTTTATAAATTATTGAATACAATTTTTCGAGTTCAAATTCCAAACACACAAGCAAATGAGGTGCTATCGGAAAGTTCCAGGACTTCATGTAAAAGGAAATCATTCAGTCATTTGTTCTGCTTTAGTAGCTATTTTCTTTAAATAATCTCCTTGATCCCATATGTTTTTCTGTGCTTAGAAATCAGTTTTGTTTGAAACTGTTGAAAACACTGATGATTTCAATTGAACGCAGTTTTGAAACTTCATCTTTTGCGATTCCTTTTCAGGCTGAAAAAAGAAGCGAAGCTGTAGGTAACTTGATCAAGTGAATACGGTGGATGAGATATAATAAACTACACGACTATTTTCCATAACTTAACAGGATTCTAAGAATGTGGGAAGTGAAAAATTCTAAAAAGCTAAATTTCGTAGGAGAGCAACACATGTTCAATTTCTGTTAAAGTTTATAGTCTCTAAACAAATTTCGTAACTGATTTCACCTTGTCTGCGATTTAATGGATTGTTGAAAAGAAGATATTTTTGGATGAATCTTCGAATTTTTTTAACATATCATTATGCTCTGTTCGTCTCTTCGAATTCTCAGAATCTTCAAATGAAACTCCGACAACTCTAAAATGCCAGTTCCATTCAAAAACAACTGCCTGAGATAAAGTATCATTATCAAAAGCCGTGTGAAACATTTCAAGAGTTTCCTTAGCATATTTATCGAATTTCGTGTAAAATTTAATGCAAACAAGTGTAGTTCGACTTTACTATACATTGCCAAACTCGCAGAGAGAACTAATTAACAAGATGAAATAAAACCTAAAAAAAACTATGTACGTCTATGTAAAGCAACAGAATGTTGGAGAAAGTAGCAAAATTATAAATATGACCTACTTTAGTCTCACCACCTTACGAGGCAACCACAGCAGTCGAAGTCTGAGAATTCTCCGACAACACCTCATGTATCAACTGTAAATGATAGTCAGGGTTAATAACTTTACGATAACGGGATTTCCATCACTATTTTTAAGAATCAGTATAATGATTCTTAAAAATAGTGACTGATTCTTAAAAATAGTGATGATTTTGGGGGAATTATCTGCGATATAGCAATATAAAAGTAAGTTTCTCCATCGGTCAAATAAAACTGCAAATTTCCGATATTTGTTTAATTATTTTAAAACTATTCTTTCTTTTAATACCACTTTCTATGTTTGACTTTGTTTCTTTTCTGTCTTAGGCATTCATAGAATTTGATTAGTTTATTAAATCGTTGTTTAAATTTACATAAAATTATGCTTATTGAATTATACAATACTTGTTTACTTTATACCTTATTCCTTATAGATATTTATTAGAAATATTAGTGTAAATGCTCTAAAAAATTAATCATATATATCTTTATTAGGAGTTACAGGCCGTGAAATTAGCTACAGTTCCAGAGAAATTTGAGCGAAACTTTGGGTCAAGTGTTACCTAAATTTTGAAAAGGGAAAAATATTATGACCTTAATTATTAGAAAAATTAAATAGATTTCTTCCTCAATAATAAGCTGATTAAGGTAAAAATATTTGGATGTGTAAGGTCTGTGGCATAAAATTTACGATGTATTAATAATAAAGCAATTTTTGTACCTTCACAGTGAAATGAGAATGTATTGTTCATAGCAGACTATTCATACTATCTAAAAACTGCATTGAACACTGGAATACTGTATGTCTTTTCCTTGATCTAACATACAAAAGTTAAAATCTGAACAGAGCACTACAATTTTTCTTACCAAGTGCTTCTCGATAAGAAGTAAGTTTGTCGCTTCCAGGACTTGGAGTTGACTTTTGTCGTCTGAGTTGATCAACGGGAGTTTCCAAGTGTGCTACGTACTTTTCAGATGCAACTGACGCTCTTTTCAATTGGTCTGTAAATTTCGTAAGAATAATCAATACAACTGAATTTAAGTGTTGTGAAACATCTTCGTTATCTTCTTTGCTCACCAGAAACATATGTATATATATGTTTCTGGTGAGCAAAGAATACATATTTTTGAATATAATGAAATTTATCTAAAATATCTGGACTTTGCATAAAAAATTTCTGAAAAAAATGTGTAAATTTCACTTTACACGTGCAGTACGTATGTGAATAAATGGAATATGCTAGTTACGAATATAATGTGCAGTGCCATAAAATCTGAGATGAGAATAAAAACTAAGTAAAAATATATATATGAATAAGAATTTCGTTCAGTGTTCCTTAGATATGCATCATCTCAATACCCCAAAGGAATCATAAATATAACATCAGAGACAGACCACTTCCGCCATTCTAGTCTGATCGTTCGTCCTCGTTTGAGACGTAAATAATGAATCTGTCCCAAACAGTAATTTTTGAAGCAATCTAATGCAAGGAACACATACCTGCTTTTACTATTTATAACATTTTATTTCTATAATCAAAAGGTTTTTCCTAAGAAGGCACAGCAATTATTCCTAATCTAGCTGCTGTTTAGCATTCGGGTGATCCTATTGATTAATAAAAATTTCTCATGAAGAGTTCTTTAACATGATTATCAGAAAGGAAATAATTGAGTAGTATAGAAATGCGAGGCTGAGAAGAATAGTTTAATTTCAATAGTATGCAAATGAAGAAAATCAAAGTAAAAATTAGTCATATTAATATAAAACTTCTTGATGACTGCAGTGTAGTTAGAACTCAGTTGAACTTTATGAAAACATGCTTGCTTTTCTTAATATAGAAATTACGTTTTTCATGAAAATGATACAGAAGAAAATTTTGGAATCTTGCAAGAAATTAAAAGACATATTTGTTGAATAATAAATTATCTATAAAGTTTAAGTAATAATTTAAAGTAATAATTTATTACAATTCTGTGCATCAGAAAGATGCTGGTATCATTTCCTCGTAATACATTCGTGTGTAAAAATGAGAAGAATTGCAAATTATGTCTATTTTTAAGAAAATTATTGAAACATGCATATTAATTGTACCGCCGAGGAATTATATGAATATTCAGTCGAATACATATGCGCACACATGTGTTCTGCGGAGCTGCGATTGTAGAGGGGATATTTGCACAAGGGAATTTCGGCAATTTGTGTACTCGTACACTTGAGTAGAGTTGGCAAATATTATAAGGATCGGGATAAAACAAGAGGCCACGAACGTATGGATGACACAATAAAACGTATGGAGAACTGTCGGTAGACTGGAGGCAGTCCAAGCACACGCGCAGGTGGCTACAGAACTCATTGTAACGTCTAGTGTCGTCTGCAATTTATGAAAACAGTTTCAGGACACCGGATCCACATCGAGAAGACATGGACAAGGTCGACTAAGATACACAACGACGAATAATGATCGTTATTTGGAATAAGGTTGCTCAAACTTCGCAGTTTTCACGTGACCTGTATGCTGCCGCTGGAACCCAAATATCAAAGTCTACAGTAGTTACCTGAACGCTTCATGAGATAGGGTTCTATGTTAGAAGACTGCTGTTTGCGCACGATCACTGCAGTACACAAGAAAGCTCGTTTAATATGGTTCATACAGCATAAGCCCTGGATCAGACTTCAGTGGAGCACTGCGCTTTTCACACAGGAGTGAAGATTCAACCTGGAGACTCATTCTCGGCGTACCTGTATTTAGAGAGCCTGAAACATAATACTCTTCCTTCCTCATAAGGGATAAGAATTATTAGGGTGGTGAAGGATGACCGCACACTCCTGCATGTATTTGAAAAAGGCTTCTTGACTGTTATGAGGCATGTAGAGGAGAACTTAGAGCCTTATGTTTGACTTACCCAGTACCCAGAACTCAGGAACAGAGGCACAGTTGGTCCTGAATTCCAGTTAATGTACGACAACGCTCGTCCATATAGGGTTTATCTGTTCTACTATTACCTGAAAAGTGCGGATATTCGGCGCATGAACTGGCCAGCCAGATCTCCTGACCTTAACCCTACAAAGTATTTCTAGGTCGCTCATGGAAGGGCAATTTCTTCTCGCCATCCCCTTCAGAGAACTATCCCGGAGATAAAAACTGCTTTGCTGCAGGCATGCGATCGATTGTCACAGGGATTCCTTAATTGCCTCTTGTCCAGTATGGCTTCACGTTGCGCGATTTGCCTGTGACTTGGCTGTGAGAGCGGACCATACCCCATATTAGACAGATTTTCAGTTCGATATCACAACGTGGATTTTTGACATCCCTGCACTATGATCTTTGCTTATAATATGCCTATATTAAATGACGTTTTTTTAGTACATCTCTTTCTCTGTTATAAATATATACTCAAAAAATTTCATTAAAATCAGTATATTTGTTTTTTAGAAATTCCACATAATGGGCAAATTCTGTTAATTTTGCAATCTAATGTACATTCTTAAACACGCAATTTGCAGCGGATCCTTCAGTATCAATTCCTTTACGGAAAACGCAGACAATTTAACACTTTAAACTGAGGATTAGTTCAATTAATAAAACAGCGTTGTGAGGCTTAAAGTCGCCATTTGTTGCATGGTATAGCAAATTGTCTATCTGTAGAAAAGCTTCTAAGTTTAAGAAATAGTATAGGAAAACTTAGAATTGTACAATATTGTGCGATCATGGTTTTAACATTTACAACATACTGGTCATATTAGCAGTGCTAATATTTTTAGAAATGTAATAAATCCCAACAGAAGAGAAAAGCATATCCAGATAGAATGTTCCTAGTATCATATGCATAATAATCATCCACGATTCTATGATATTTCGTATTTCCTAACGTATTTTCCCCCCTCCACTTTATTTCCTTGTGCGAAATAAAGAAAGTATTGTAAGCGTGAAAACAATTTCGGGTATCATATATCAAAGAAAGTATCATTTTTGACCACTCTCGAATCCATTTGAACGATGCGTTTCGAAAATGAATAATAAAATGGATTTAAAAGATTCAGAAGAGATTTTTTGTGACATCTGCACATAGGTATATAAGTAAATACATATATATGTATCTCGCATAACTCAAAAACGAGTAGCTCCAAAGCATTGGAATTTTATATATGAGACTGATATAGTATGTAGCTGTGCACCTCCCGTTTTGGTTGCAATCGACCCAACTAAACATTTATATATATATATATATATATATATATAAATGAAAAAGTCGACAGGATTTACCTGGTGCAAGTTTTCCCGAATGGATTTTCGAACTCTGCTGCCTCAAACTACAAGTGAATCATCAAATTAGTTTCCGGTGTGTGATTTAACGGCATATTTTAAAAGTGCTTTGAAATCATCGAGTAAATCGAAAGTGTTCGGAATCAAGGTCAGGTCGCCAACGTAGTGAAGTATGGTTAATCTTTCTTGCTCTCTTCGAATATTCTCAATGTTTAAGCATCTCCGATCATCGCGTAGAAAGGAAATTAAGCATCGAAAGTGCTTTCAAGGCCATCAACCTCATTAGTGAAATAAAAAATGCTACATGGGATTTTGTGCTCTCTTGCATGTTCAGCGCTTTATTCGTCTAATTCTTCCTATTCAAAGAATGCACTATTATCAAAAGTTATTAATGTGATATGAAGTGGTATTAATTTCCAAATTGAGTACATTATGTTAAAAAAATTGCATTTATAAGTTAATTGAGCTATGATTTATTAATGATAATATTTTGCTTAAGTCATTTTGAGATCAAAGTTAATAATTTAAAAATATTATGATTTATTTAAAATGTAGTTTTGTATTTCTGAATTGGGAAAAAGGGAAAGGTTATAGTACTTTCATAGCAAGAAGGCTGAAGTTTCAGTTCACAGTTTTGGTTTAGAATTAATTTGATTGGACGAGAGGCATCTGCATTAAAACGTTACATAAGATAGAAAAGTCTGGAACCTGTGAGAAGAGATGAATTTAGGGGCAGATTACCAAATTTAGAATGTTAATTTTGAGGTCGTCAATTATTATTTGAGACACCTATCATATTTTGTTATATCTCACATATCTGAATTTGATAAAAGTTAGGTAAAGAATTTGAGGGTTTTACTTAGGGAAGGTTCCTTATGTGAATAAGATTTTTGTACTATTGTTTAAATTTCTTTGAATTTATATTTTTTTGAATTTTTACTGTATTTTAAGAATGAAATTATTGTTTGAAAATTTTAAATTCTAAGAATTTCTTAAATGTTTTTATGATAAACGTTGAAGGCTCTCACCTTATGGAAAAAATACATTTTTTTTAATCTAAGTATTTTTATTTGTTAATAAAATGGAGTGTGTTTTTAATATTCGTATGGAATGACAGCAGTTCGAAAAAGGCCAGTTGCCGCTACAGAAGGAACGGAGGCCTTTTCCACAGTAACTGCTAATTTGGCAAATCTTTTGACCATGGTGAAGAATATTAAACACCCAGTTTGCACACATGATAAACCAATATGATGGGAAATGCTAGTATTTAGATAAAGTTGTGGAGTCTCCAAGTTTGTAAAGAATAAGTAAATTTTTAAATGTCTTAATAATAGTGAAAAATTTGAAATTGTGTTTATGAATGATGTTTGCAAAATTTTTATATTTTTTTAATGCCTTCCTTGAAAAAAAATAATTAAATAATATGAAAATTGGCATCTTAATTAGAAATATTTTCATCAACAAAAATTTGAAAGAATTTTATTTGAACATTTAGTTTGTGAAAAAATTTGAACTTTTACCATGTGGAACTGTCAAGAACTTTACAAAATTTCATTGGACATTCTTATCTCAGAACACTAAAATGTGCAATTGTTTTAAAAGAGTACAGTGTCTAAAATTATTATTGAATTCAAAATTTTATGACATTCAGCGAAATGTCAAAATTGATTCAAAATATCGGTCAAAATTTTATGACAATAATTTTTTGTTTAAAAGTTAATATGTTTGTATTTTCAA